CTGTGTCTGGGATGGACATCAGTCCCCTGGGTGGACGTTTCTGGGGGCAGGTTTCGAGGCCCGGGAATGGCCAGAGTGCCACCAGCCGCTCCCCGCAGTGTCCAGCAGGGGGCCTGCCGCCTGGAGTGGAGGAGGCCGAGTGGGGCTGGAGCAAGATCCTGAGGCCCTTCAGATTCCCAGATGCTCTAGCCCCACCCAGAGCCAGGCGCCCTGGGGGCAGCTCAGCCCGCTGAGCCCCTGCCCCGGGGCATCACCATCAACCCAGCTACTGGGCATCCCACAGGGCAGACCCCCCCCCAGGACCCCAGCCCAGGGGAGCCGGCAGAGCCCGGCTGTGAATGTCGCTGTGCCCGCCAGCCAGCCGCGCACGCTGGCTGGGGTCTGCAGGCAGCTGACAGGCGTGCTCTCTCCCCCACCGCAGGGGAGCCAGGCCGCCCCGGGAGCCCCGGCCTGCCCGGCATGCCCGGCCGCAGCGTTAGCATCGGCTACCTCCTGGTGAAGCACAGCCAGACGGACCGGGAGCCCATGTGCCCCGTGGGCATGGGCAAGCTCTGGAGCGGGTTCAGCCTGCTCTACTTCGAAGGCCAGGAGAAAGCCCACAACCAGGACCTGGGTAGGTACCGCCCACCCGCCCGCCCCGCTGCAGGCCCCGCGGCCGCCAGATGGGTGCGTGGCATGTGTGCCTGGTCGCCAGAAGGAATTGAAACAACCTGAAAGCTCACAGAAAACGCAGCGAGCCGCATGAATGCCAGAGGCCTGGGGAAGGGTGCCTGTGTGTGTGGCGGGGCCGGAGGCTGGGAGATCGGTCGGGCGGAACGCAATGAGTGGGCACCTTCCCGTCCCAGTGTTCTCCTTCCGTAATAAGTTATTTTAGAAAGTGGGACAAAGCAACAAGAATAAGGACCTAAAACAGAGCGGGGACAGGGCAAGGCTGCCACAGCGCCCAGCAGGCCTCTGAGGGCGGAGCACAGGCCTGCTCTCCGCTTGGAAGCAATGGTGTGAAAGGGGGCCGAGTTCAGTGAGATAATTCACTCTGGCCCTGAGGTGAAGCCCGTGGAATTATTTGGGGGTAGGAGCGGCCAGAGTTCCCCTGAGCCGGGCCCTCATCTTGGATGCCGCCAGAGGTCGTTGGGGCTGGTGCTTTAAGATCCCCCAACAGGGGCCTCACCCAGGGTGCTATTCCACAAAGATGCCCCACCCTCCGGCCCAGCCTGGTGCTGGTATGTGTGGGACCCTCTCGAGGGGCAGAATGAAAATGCCAAAAAAGGGAATAAGACCGGAACTCACCCACCACCCCACCCCGTGCATGGCTGAACCCCCAAGGGGGCCCCGGGCGGGTCCCCGACATGGCCCTCCCGCACTGGCCCGGCCTGGAGGAGCATCTTCCCCCACGCTGAGCTGTGGCTCTGTCCGCAGGGCTGGCAGGCTCCTGCCTGGCCCGCTTCAGCACCATGCCCTTCCTGTACTGCAACCCTGGCGACACCTGCTACTATGCCAGCCGCAACGACAAGTCCTACTGGCTGTCCACCACCGCCCCGCTGCCCATGATGCCCGTGGCCGAGGAGGACATCAGGCCCTACATCAGCCGCTGCTCCGTGTGTGAGGCCCCGGCCGTGGCCATCGCAGTCCACAGTCAGGACGTCTCCATCCCCCACTGCCCGGCTGGATGGCGGAGTTTGTGGATCGGCTATTCCTTCCTCATGGTATGTGGTGCATGTCTGCTTTCCCTCAGAGCCTGGAACCAGGTGGAAAGTGAGCTCCTCTCCCTAGCCACACCCTGGCCTTTGTAACTACAGTCGGGGCAGTCGTTCAGGTTGTGCACTGCACAAGGGCACCCGGCCCAGAGGGTGACTGACAGCTGGAATGCAGCCTGCACTTTTGCCTGCACTTTGCTAATTGAGCCCTGAAGGTATCCATTAATTTGCCACCAGGCCTGTGTATGAGCTGTAATTAGGATAAATTTAACTACCGTGATTGCACCCTTTATGGTTTTCCTGTTTACCATCGCAGGGAGAAAGCAAAGTCCAGCAGGGAGGGTGGGTCTTGTATTGCACTTATGTTTATTATGACTGTCGTAACCCTGACATATTGACTAGATGCCCAACATATTAATTATTTCATAAGTTATACTAGTAACATTATATATGTGTGTATATATAAAATAATGTTTGTGAATCTTGTGAAAACAACAGGGAAAAAAACCTGGGTTCTAGGAAAGGAAGGAAAAGATCCAGAAGGGTTGCTGGGTGACCATCACTAAGGTATCACTGCTGCAAAAAAGCAAAGCAACAAGATAGTAAGTTCCGGGCAGGGACAGGCAGCCCTCTTCTTTTCAGGAAGCTAAGCATGTCGGGCGACTTGAGGGGGTAAACAGTGCAACCCTCCTCTGCCTCTGGGTCCCAGAGGAGCAAGCTCCAGTCCGTCCTATGTCTAGGGCCCCCAGTCAAATTCAAAAATAAAAATGAGCTTCTCCCCCGTGAAGGGAGTGACGACACTGTATCTAAAGTCAGTCACAGCCCTGCTTTTACTGGCAGCTGCATCTCAAATCCTGTCACAGGAGAAGGGATAAGTAACTCAGTAACTGCCTCCAAGCCCCGTCAGCGTGGACCTTGGCACCCTCCCCCCAAGGCAGGTGACAACCCGCAGTCCCCTGACCCCACTGTAGAGCCAGGGGTGGGACCAATGGGCTGCCCACACCTTCACTGTGAGAGCCTAGGGAGGCCCGGTGGTTCGGCCAGTGGAGAGTGAGCGCCGGGCTTACCCCGTAATGTGCCACTGCCCACGTGGGACGGTCACCGTCTTGTCTGCATGTGATGTGCCTTGGTCCACTGCTCCCTGGGGTCTGCTCCCCTCACCCCAGGGACCCCTCTCGGAGCTGATCTGGTGTCTCCAGCCAGTCAGTAGTTGACGTTCTCCTTATCGATTCAGATGAGGTTCCCATGGGCTGTGAGTGTCCAGGACCACTTCTCAGGGCCGGCCTCCTGTCCTGGTGACTCTCTTAAGAGACATGAGCTGCTTGAGTCCCAAAGCCAGAGGCTTGTCCGCTGAGAAGAGCACACTGGAAAGGGGGGGGTGTGTGCACAGCGTGCCTGTGGGGTGTGCACATGTGTGCGTGTGTGCACAGCATGCCTGTGGGGCGAGCATGGGTGTGCACGTGTGTGTGTTTGCACCGGCAGGGCCTCAGCTCTGTCAGACCAAAGTGAGCCCGAGACACCCCGTGTAGACACACCTGCTTCTCCCTGCATGTTTATGGCACCAGGAGCTCTGCTGGGAAAGGCTCCTGCATTCTGTGAGCAGAAAGCTACTCGAGGGTTTTTGTTTTCTGCTGTGCGTCTGAAGGAAAGGTCAGCCTGGGCGCCCGCCCACCCCCATAGCGGGCGCCGCCTCTGCTTCTGGCTGGCGGTGGCCGAGCTGTTTCTGCTCTAGGGTAACAGGCCCTGACACCCCACTTACCCCTGACCAGGCCAACTGGCACTTTCTCTAGATAAGTGCTGAGACCCAGGCCGCCCCACCACGCACCTTAGTAAGAGCTAACATGTTTATGAAGTGAAAAGAAAGGAGAACTTGAAAGCGGCCAAGAATACCCCCTCCGACGCTCGGCCTGGCCTCCAGCCGGCGGCCGTGGGGCCGTCTCAGGTGGCCTACTGCTTATTGCACAACCTTCTGATCAAAGCTAAACTCATTACACAAGTGTTAAACATTCACTGTAGAAAAATCAGCAAGTAGGGTTTTTCATAAAAAATGGTGGTAATTATACTAAGTGAAGTTAAGTCAGACAGAGAAAGACAAATACTATGTGATGTCACTTCTAAGTGGAATCTAAAACCTGACACAAATAGAGGGGAGGGCGCAGCTCAGTGGCAGACCGTGTGCCTAGCACCCACACGGTCCTGGGTTCCAGCCCCAGTCCTTCCATTAAAATCAATCAATAAATAAACCTAATTACCTCCCCCAACCAAAAAACAATGTTTTAATAAAAAATAAATGACACAAACGAACTTATTTTCAAAACAGGAAGAGACTCACATAGAAAACAAACATGCTTACCAAGGAGGAAAGAGGAGAGGGAGGGATAAATGAGGAGTTTGGGATTAGCAGATACACATCACCATATATAAAACAGATAAACAAGGTCCTACTGCGCAACACAGGGAACTCTATTCAGTATCTTGTAGTAACCTGCCATGGAAAAGAATCTGGAAAGAACACATGTATGTATAACTGGGTCACTGTGCTGCACACCGGAAACACACACAACACTGTCAACCAGCTATACGCCAATTTTAAAATGTGCTGAAAGTAACGCTAATCACAGCAGCCACAGCCTCCCCGTAACCGTGAGCGGAGGAGGGGCACCGTCTTTGGTGCTGTTTTCCTCCAGCCTCAGGCTCTGACCCACGTGGCGAACGTGTTTTTCCTTCTAACAAAAGACGTTAACGCG